ATGAAATGCTGATACATTTTATAACATGGGTGAACCTTGAAAACACTATACTAAAGAAGCCAATCAATAAATATATTATTCCATTTGTATGAAATTTCCAGAATAGGCAAGTAAATCTGTAGAGACAGAAAGTAGATTAATGATTGCTGTGGAATGGAGAAGGGCACAGGGTTTCTTGGGGGAAGGGAGGTATGTTCTTAATCTAGATTTTATTGGTGGTTGTGCAATAGTAAAAAACATTGAATTGTACACTTTAAATGAGTAAATTGTGTGGTATGTGAATTACATTTCAATGAAGCTTTTCAACAAAAAGAAAAAGAAACCTCAGAAACCTGACCTGAATGATCCAAATTCTGCCAGATCTGTCCAACTTTGAAGACGTCCATTTTGGTCATTATTAACCATATTCTAGGAATTACCTAAAATTCCATGGTCTATGCTCAGCATTGACTTTTGACACTATCTAATTCATTTAATTAGGGGAGAAAAGGAGACTATGGCCTGAGATATTGGAAGGGGAAGGATGATGGGGTCTTACAGCCAAAAAGAAAAGCCTTTAATAGAAGAAATGGCTGGGCTACAAGTGGGCTATGAGGAGCCCAGCTCAGGACAAAAACCTGTGCACTAGACCCCAAGAACCCTGGATCTCCCTTCTTGGACTGAGAACACATCTTCTGGCAAGGTTAAAATATCACTGGGGCCAGTGTTACCTTCAAAAATCCACTGACTCGCACAGGTGTTATTACAGAAAAATGGCCTCTAATTAACAGGAGGGTAAGTTATCTGTAAGGACAGATTTTTAAATGAGAACTCACTTATGTAGAGGATAATAAATGACCTTTCAATATCAAAAAATCTCAAAGAGTTTTATGTCTATTAATTAGTCCCACTCCTCTCCAAGGAAAGGTGTTCATTTGCTACATCTGTAGCTTATCTACCTGTTTCATGCCAGGGGGCCAAGCAGGAGTGAAGAGCCCGCCCAGGGTTACACAGAACCTCCCTTGTAACACAAACACTCAGCCATCCTCTGGGTCCTGTGGGTTTCACCTCACTGAATAGCCAGCCACCCAACATCTCTACTGAGCGGAAAAGGAAATCTAAGAGCTCCATCATCATTATCCTTCATGATTTGGTCACAATTTGACAAGGAGACTCCCTGAAAACTCCATTAGTTCAAAATAATAGCTGCCATAACCAATAGGCATATCTGCACCCATGGGAAATGAATTGGAAAGGCTTGCAAGCATCAAGAACCAAAGAAAATAGGCAACAAGAGAACTTTGATCGCATTCTGTCCATTGTAAAGACAGAGGGTGCTTTTTCCATGTAGGTTGATTCTTGTTTGTTTGTTTTAATATATAAGTACAAGCATCTGCCTTGTCTCTCCAAAGAGATTACAAGCTCCTTCCATGCTGGATCCATTCAGATACTAGAGAAGCACAGGAAGATAATAAATATTTGAGGGGTTATATACCAGGAGGTTCTCATTTCATGGCCGGATTCCTTCATAGCCTGTCATTGGGAAGTTATTTCCTCCTTACTCATGTCAGCTTTTGTGGAAAGCTATTTCTCTCATTGGGGAGTAGGCAATCCCCAGTCCTCTTTCAGAAGGGACAGTGTAACATATGCGTTGCAAATTAGGGCTTTGGAATCAGGAAGTTGTATGTTCAAACCCCAGCCCAGCCAGTCCAAGCTGCATGACTTTGAGCAAGTTATTTCTCTTTCTCCGAACCTCAGATTCCTTGTTCGAAAACTGGCAATAATATTGCCTGCCTCATGAAGTTGTTGTGGGAATTAAATAAGGTAACATATGTAAGACGCTTAACATAGAGCCTACCCCACATAGTAAGATCAATACATTATAAAAACATCTGGCCTCTAAGACCAGAAGCCACATTCCAACATGAATGCAAATAAAAGCAGCAAAACACATTGAAAAAGAGTGAACAAAAGCAGCCTAGCGCCTCATGCAGTTTACAAATGCTAAGTAACAAGACACCCATTATTGTCCTCCTTGTTTCCACAGAGGAAGACTGAGGAGCACTAAATTCTGAGGCCTTCATCAAATTCATGAATAGAGCAATTACAATGTAACCACTAAAGCCCCTGCTAATCCTCAGATTGGAACCCCAGCATCTTAGCATGTTAATGCCAAAACATGAAAATAAAAATTTAAAAAAAATAAAAAGCTTAGAGATCAGTCCAACCCTCTCCTTTTATAGATGAAGAAACTCAAAGCCAAGAGGCTAAGTGATCTGCTCAAAATTACCCAGTATGTTCCATGCTTTCCTTAAATGTGTTATTTCTAGCCCCCTGGACCCTTCCCTTCTTCCCTCTAATCAATCCCTCTCAATATCCTAGCAATGTCAGCAGTAATTTGAACTATAGAGAAGGATCCTGAGTATCCCTCCTTCCATGAGGATGAAGCCCCTAAGCACAAGGACAGTGTCTTTTATGTCAGTGCCTACAAAATGGCATTCCTTGCACTCATGAATCCCCACTAAGGGAGCAATACAAAGTTCTGTTCCCCCGACAGGAACTTACTAAATGTTTAATGAATGTGTACACAACAGACCCTCCTACTAAGAACATGATCCTTCTCTCTCCACTGCAGCATCAGGCAGAGAACTGCCTGCCTGACTAACCCAAAGAAAGAGTTGCTAGGGAGCCCTGAAAGATGCCCACAGGATGGGGTCCCCAGCTTTACTGCACTCTATCACAATGGATGTTGTCTTCACCCCTACTCAGCTCACCCCCACTCCCCTTATTTGCCACTGAAATTAACAAACCTTCTCTTGGTTTTTGGTTCCAATGGGTAAAAAGAGATATAACTAAATAGCTCTTGTAAAGTCAACATAGAAAAGCAGAAAGAGAACCTCAGCATGACCCAGCTCTTAAGATTTATAAACACATCTAAGCAAGTCCTGACCAGTGCTGGGAGACCCCAAACAGCAGAGGGTGGGAGCTGGCAGAAAGGTGACAAGATCCCAAAGGCAGAAAACCTGTGGTATGCTGGTTAGGGGTACTGACTCTTAGATCCCAAGGAATCCCCTCAAAAGTCATATTTCTTCAGTATACCAAAGCTCTCCTACTTTTCTAGACCTGAAGCCGTGTAGTCTCTCCTGACTTCTCCCCCTCCCTTCTCCTCATTTAATCCATCTCCAAACCCCATCCTTTCTTTCCCTCTATCACCCAGCCACCTTTCTATAGTTATGAACTGCTGCATCCAGGTCACTTGTCACACAGCTGTACAAGAGACTCCTAGCAGGCCTGCCTATGCAGACACTGCTCTTTCCAGTTTATCCTATGCTCCACAGCCCAGGGAGACCTACTTGCCCCAAGTTGCCCAGAACTCTGCCAGTGTTATCACTGAAAGTCTCATCTCTGGGGAAGCTCCTCAGTCCCAGCGGAGACAGTCACCTCACTACAGTCATATCAAAATCTTCCCCCAAATAATGTTTTTGTCATGTAACTTTCCTGACCAAAATGTTCCCTGTTTCTCATCTCTCATTAAAATAAACCCTAAAGCAGACCACAAATCTGCCTCAAAGAATGTGTAAGAAAGTGTGTTGCCGGGCTGGGGTACAGGGACACGGGTTCTAGGCATGGCGTTAGCCATAGCCCTGTGGGACCCTTGGCATGTCACTCAATCTAGCTGGGTCTCAGTTTCCACATCTGTAAAATTAGGAGACTAAGACTAGATTTCCTTTCCAGCTCCAAAATTTTCTAATTCTATTCTCCTATATAGTCTCTGCTCCAGCCAGACTTACCAACTCACCCTAATCCAAACTGTGTAAATCCTTACCTCTATCTTTGGTCTTTCCCTTCTCCTCATCAGAATTTCTCTTCTCATCAGCCCACCTGACTCCTTTAGGGGACAACACAACTCTCACCTTCTGGGCTCAGTCCCTGAAGACTCCATACATACACAGGTTTTCTAACACTCAGCACTTTGTATGTTCTGTTCCTGGTATTCAAGATCTTTTTTTCTATGTGAAACTTCTTTATTCCAACCAGACTAAAATCTCTCTGCACTTTTGTGATTCCCTTGCAGAATCCCAAGCACTACCAATAATTGATTGATGGATAGATACATAGAAAAAAAATACAACCAAAGGTAAAAATAGAAAGTAAAGGAAATCTAGAAATTTTTGCATTTTACATAGAATTTCCAAATGCTTTCATAATCAATAATTTAATTACTCCACCAAGATTTACTGTGACTCTCCTATGCTTAAGACACTGGTGGCATGTCATAGGTGCAGTGATGGAACATAAATGGAGACACAGGTCTCTGACAGCATTTCTACTCACAAAGAGCATAAGCTCTCACGTCGTTCCTAAACTCTAAACTTACTTTTAGTAAGACTTTAAAAGGCTCACATGGTGATAACAACACCATCATCATACCTCCTCCCACCAATTAGTCATGTATCTACACCCCCCTCCAGCCAGCAGAGCTGTTAAATGTTCCTGAATTCTAAAAAAATTCAAAATAGGTCAATAGATTAAAATACACATAAAATACACATAAGCAAGACATTAGCCTAAGACAAATCTCTTCCAGGAACTACATCCTGGCCATACACCTAAAATTGTTAGTCCCTACTTTGACAGATTTTTGTAAAATGATCATATTGATCATCTACTTTGGTATGATATGATGTGGTCCTCCATTAGTGCTGGTAAGTGACATGTATTAAGGAAGAATACCTCTGTCTTTTGGGACCCCCACAACATTCATGCACACACACATTATCCTAATTAAATGGGGTTGGGACTGAACAGTGTCACCTAATCTAATGACAAACAGGTTTGTGAACAAATGGGGGAAGTAAATAAACCAAAAGGTTTGTAGAGAGAGAAGACAAGCTGGGCCAAGCTGGGCTGGGTCCAGGGTGATTCAGGCCCTGCCACAGTATGAGTGTCTCCTGGGATGGCCTAATAAGACAATTAAAACCCATATAAATAGGATGGGTTTTCAGGGCTCCAGTATCCTCTTCAACTTCTCAATCTTCTGCTCATTCCTCCTTACACAGGTAAGATATGTGTTGGGGAGCAATGGCATTATCCACAAGGCTCAGCATGGTGGCTGTGATATGCTGGGCTGGAGATGTCTGGAGACTACTCCCTGAGGGTGACAGCCTCAGGTTCCCTCCTGCTTCCTTTTCTTGGCTTTATCTGAGAATATGATTATAGCTGAGGTTGCTTATTTTTGAGGCTATAAAATATACATGCTTTTGTTTCAGTGTATCTAGGCATTACAAAATCAAGGGCTAGAACTATTGGTGGAAAGCTTAGTCTCCCATAGTGGAGCGTTTGCCTTTTGTGAAAGGCAAGACTCAAGAGTTTAGAGCTCCCTAGGGGCAAGGCCCTGGACCATGGAACCATGTAATAGTCAAGTCTCATTACAATGACTTGCCACTAACACCTCAGTTAGTCCATAAAATTCATTATTTGCAACTTATCTGTACAGGCATCACTGCATGCTTTTGGAAATCCAATGTGAATTACAGTTAGGGTTTCAGTTTGGAGGCCTCTAAACCTAGTAACTGGGCTTTCATACCACAAGAAGAAATATCATGGAGATCCAGATTCCCGAAGACCCTAGCCTCCTAGCATGGCCAGTGTAAACTTAGCTTATTATATCCTACTTCCTATCATCTATGCAGTTAATTTGGCTTGCTATTTTTTTTTCTGTAACAGTTTTGTATTCACTGATTCTATTTAATAATCATACCCCAAAGTGACCATCCAGGTCAGAAGAACTTGCTGGAATTTAGTCTCCCAGAAAGTTTCCTTGGTTCATGGCAAGAGACCTGTAGCCTTCTTCCCCACTTGAGCAAGGTTCATTAGAAGACTGTGGCCTATTCAGTGGGCTCTGTGTAGTGCCCTGTTCATTGTACTAGTCATTGATAGAAAGTTACACTGCACTACGCTGGCCTTGGTGCTGTCTCTGTGGGCTTCCTGACTATTTTCTTTTTTGTTCTAATGTGAGAGTTTCAATCAAGCAAGTCCCACCTGGGGTAGAGGATGGAGCACCTACCATATATTTTTTGGCTTTTAGGAAATAGCCATTTTTTTCTAGCAGGGGACCCATATTCTTCACTCACCTCCCACTGTAGTATGTGACACTTAGAGCCAGATTGTGTGGGTCAAAGGGGTGAGGGGTATGGCTAAGGAAGGGACTATGTCATTTCTTATGCTTCTGCTCTGACCAAGAGGGACCACTTTTCTTCTGAAAATGCTGTCTTCTGGGCTTCCTTCTAAACAAAATCTTGTTTCATCTTTTAGGTTCACTTGTCTTTGCCAAAATGGCTCAACTCCTGAACAGTATATTCACCGTGATCAAGATATTCCAGAAATATGCTAAAGAGGATGGGGACTGTGCCTTACTGTGCAAGAAGGAGTTGAAGCAACTGCTCTTGGCTGAGTTTGGAAACATCCTCCGGGTAAGATGCATAGACTCTGGGCCCCATGGAGTCAAGTGTGAGTGACTCTGACACCTGCAGCCAGGGCTTGATTTTTATTTCATTTGGTCATGCTCTACCCTATAACTAAAAGAGTTTAGGCAGCTCATTAATAGTTAACTCCCAGCACACAGACATGTGTGTATAGGCATGCTTACACACACATGCACACACACACATACACCTTTTTGTATCTGAGTTGGAACAGGAGGAAGTACAACTTTGAACTAGAAATCACTTCTCAAAAGCTATCTAAATTCATATCTTAATTTTTATATTTTAGTGTTGTCTACCCATCTTCTCATTCATTCATTCATTCATTCAATGAAGCATTATTAAGCACCTACTCCATAACAGTATCATACTAGCCACTGAGGATAGAAATATAGATAAAGCCAGCTTCCCCTCCCTCCAGTATCTCACAGCATGGTTGGAAAGAAGTTGGTAAACAGATAATTACAATATAGCATGTGATGGGGTGGGACAGCTTCCTCAAATGACTCAAATTAATTATGACTCAAATTAATTATTGATGGAGGTGATTTTAAATAAGTGTATCTACTCCCTATAATCCGGCTGCTTCCCATTGGTCAGCAAGGGATGAGCTCTGAGAACCAGCTGATCAAAGACTAGAACCAAGCCTAAGCCACTTCAGATTAATGGTTTCTCAACCAAGGAAGACTCATACAAACTAAATGGACTGGAGTTTGGACATGGGCACACATCTAAGTATCCACAGGAAGAAAATTGATTTTTCTCTTTGTTTTTCTTCTCACAGAGACCAAATGACCCAGAGACTGTGGAAACCATCTTGAGCCACTTGGATAAAGACAGAAATGGACATGTTGATTTTCAAGAATATCTCTTGTTGGTGTTCCAGTTGGCCCAAGCTTGCTATCATAAGCTGGAAAATGAGTCACATGGAAATAAAACTTCCCAGCAAGAAGGAGAGCAGGAGGGAACACAAGACCATAAGTTTCCAGGAACTGCAGGCAGACAACACAGGCAGAGGCATGAGGGAGAAAGGCAGGACTTTCACCACAGTCAATCTGATGGACAAAACCAGGACATCCGCCAGGATCAAACTGAGAGACAAGATAGAGATTCCCACTACGGTCAGTCTGAGAAACAGGATCAGGACTCCCACCATGGTCAGTCTGAAACAACAGATAGGAACTCCTATGATCATTCTGAGAGGCAAGGTCAGGACTCCAGCTCTGATCAAAGACTGAGTCATAAATCTAGCAGCGGCCATCCTGGAAGACAAGGATATATCTTTGCCCTAAATCCGTGTGAGAGACAAGTTCAGTCCGAAAGGCTTAGACAACAAGCAAGCTATCACCAGCCTGGAAGACTTGGAGAGGACTCTTGTTCTAGCCAAACCAACCAGCAGGAATCAGGCTCTTATTATGGATATTCTGTGAGGCTGGGTCAAGAATCAGGCTGTCGTCAGGGAGACAGGCAAGAACTGGATTCTCAATATGGCCAGATACACAGACAAGGCCAGAGTTCCCACCATGGTCAGACAGACAGACAAGGCCAGAGTTCCCACCATGGTCAGACAGACAGACAAGGCCAGAGTTCCCACCATGGTCAGACAGACAGACAAGGCCATAGTTCCCACTATGGTCAGACAGACAGACAAGGCCAGGGTTCCCACTATGGTCAGACAGACAGACAAGACCAAAGTTCCCACCATGGTCAGACAGACAGACAAGGCCAGAGTTCCCACCATGGTCAGACAGACAGACAAGGCCAGAGTTCCCACCATGGTCAGACAGACAGACAAGGCCAGGGTTCCCACTATGGTCAGACAGACAGACAAGGCCAGAGTTCCCACCATGGTCAGACAGACAGACAAGGCCAGGGTTCCCACTATGGTCAGACAGACAGACAAGACCAAAGTTCCCACCATGGTCAGACAGACAGACAAGGCCAGAGTTCCCACTATGGTCAGACAGACAGACAAGACCAAAGTTCCCACCATGGTCAGACAGACAGACAAGGCCAGGGTTCCCACTATGGTCAGACAGACAGACAAGGCCAGGGTTCCCACTATGGTCAGACAGACAGACAAGGCCAGAGTTCCCACCATGGTCAGACAGACAGACAAGGCCAGAGTTCCCACTATGGTCAGACAGACAGACAAGGCCAGGGTTCCCACTATGGTCAGACAGACAGACAAGGCCAGGGTTCCCACTATGGTCAGACAGACAGACAAGGCCAGGGTTCCCACTATGGTCAGACAGACAGACAAGGCCAGAGTTCCCACTATGGTCAGACAGACAGACAAGGCCAGAGTTCCCACCATGGTCAGACAGACAGACAAGGCCAGGGTTCCCACTATGGTCAGACAGACAGACAAGGCCAGGGTTCCCACTATGGTCAGACAGACAGACAAGGCCAGGGTTCCCACCATGGTCAGACAGACAGACAAGGCCATAGTTCCCACTATGGTCAGACAGACAGACAAGGCCAGGGTTCCCACTATGGTCAGACAGACAGACAAGACCAAAGTTCCCACCATGGTCAGACAGACAGACAAGGCCAGGGTTCCCACCATGGTCAGACAGACAGACAAGGCCAGGGTTCCCACTATGGTCAGACAGACAGACAAGACCAGGGTTCCCACTATGGTCAGACAGACAGACAAGGCCAGGGTTCCCACTATGGTCAGACAGACAGACAAGGCCAGGGTTCCCACCATGGTCAGACAGACAGACAAGGCCAGAGTTTTCATGATAGTCAAACAGACAGTCAAGGTCTGAGCTCTCAGTATGACCAGACAGGCAAACAAGACCAGACTTATCATTATGGTCATTCAGACAGACAAGGCCAGAGTTATCAGTATGGTCAGACAGACAGACAAGGTCAGAGCTCTCAATATAGTCAGTCAGAGACTGGGGAGACCGGACAGAATAGGTGCTCCCATAGACGTGAGAGAGTAAGCAGAGGTTCATATGTTGAGCAATCAGGAAGGTCAGGGAGACCAACTCAACAGACTCAAGGACAGAATGTGAGCCGAGATCAAGGACAGAGATTTCAATCTAGGGAAGGGCAGAAGAACAGCCATGAGGCATCAGAGCCTGAAGAAGATAGACAACACCACCAACACAAACTTGTAGCACAAATCTGGCAAGAAAAGCCACATTGTCACAAAGAGAGTAGTGGGCAATTGTGCAGTAGTGAGCAGGGCCACAGCCAGGCCCAGACCAGGGAGAGTTGTGGTGAGGGGCAGAGCCACCAGGCAGAGGAAGAGCAGGGCCACCAAATCCAGGGTAGACATGGTTGTAAGAGTCAGGAAACTCCATGTGAGGAAGAGGACAGGCAAACCCATGAAGATAAGCAAAACCATCAAAGACAAAACAGGCAAACCCATGAAGAGGATCAAAATGGCCAGCAACAACAGAATAAGCAAACCCATAAGAAGAAAGAAAGATATCAAGGGTCCCAGAATCAGCATTCTCATGGAACCCAGCAAGGCTGTGCTAACAGAGAAAAATTCCTCATAAATGAGGATGTCCAGAGCCAAGGCTCCCAGGGAAGGCACAAGGACAAAGCCTTCTATCCAACCCAGAGTGGTGGGAGGCCCCCAAAAAGAGAAGAGGGTGAAAGTCACCATACCAAGGCAGCTCTTGCTCCCAACCCCCTCTATGACTATCTACAAGAGCAGAAAGCTCATAAGCACTAGGCCTTGGGCACACCAGAGCTACAGCTGAGGAAGAAATCTACATGCCAAGGTCATATTTACTTCTGTTTAAAAGATTGAAAATGTATGTGTTCCTTCTTTCCTCTACTTTTACCTATTTACAAGGATGCTGTTGAGGATTAACATTCACTTCTAGGGCATTTCAGTTCTTTGAGCAGCAACTCTAGGGTGTTCTGGTTGGGTGAAATCTTAGTAAATTGGGTGAAATAATCAGATCTCAATTTTGATTAGTTTGGAGATTTAAATCATTTCCTGGTTTTCCATCTATGTAGACAGGACATGATTGTATCACTGAAAGGTAAAAACTTCTCCTGAAAGTTCGGAAACAGGAAAGGTATTCTGAAGATACATGTTACAAACTAAGATGAGGACATCTGGGCTTCGGTGAACTTTGGTGGGCTTTGGTTTCCTGACTCCCGTGGATGAAACATCAGGAATTGCAAGCCTCATAGTCTGCACTAAAATGAAACACAGTGAGAGGCTTCTAGGAGAGCCAGAGAACACAGAGGGCATCTCGGATCCACAACACCTCCAGCACCCAGGCTCCTACCCTTCACCAGATAGGGACTGTCCACTGAGCAACTATCACTACAGCTGACTAGACTGGTTTTAGTTCAATGTCTTTCCAGTTTCTGATCATATTAAATGGAGAGAAAATATATGTCATCTGTTTTCAGATACTAGGGAGCCAAAACTGTTGCTGCATAGCTCCTGGGGCCTGAAAACTCTTCACAAGAAAATCTATGGAATTGTATTAAAATACCCAATAAATGATTGGTGAGCAATGACCTCGATGACTCTTTCCTTTCTTCACTGTGGAGCTGTGCTATCTTCACCTGTGGGCCATTTTCCAAGAACAATACCTCATTTCTCGCCTTCCAAGATCTCTTTGTTCTTTGAGCTCCTGATCAATGAAAAAAAAATCAATAGGAAACAGATAAAAAGGAGTCAAAAGTCTAAACTCCAACTTAACCACACATCTCTTCAACCTCCATATTTCTGCTTAAACCATTTCTTCCACTTAAACACTTTCCTAATCTTCATGCCTCAAAATGTCATCCATTCTACTAATCAGCAACAGCTTCTGGACCTATCAACAGTACAGAGCTTACCACATTGCACTGAAGTCCATTTTAAACCCATCTGTTTCCCACACCATGCTGTGAGGTCCTAGAAGACAGAAACTACATCTTAGTCACAATCTTCTCTTCAGCACCAAGCATAATGACTGGCCAATTATAAAGAAAGAGACTGGGATTTAAAATAAAGAAGACCTGTATTTGAGACATAGCTCTACCACTTGCTAATGTTCTGATCATAAAATATTTTATCTCTTTAAATCTTAGTTTCTTTATCTGTAAAGTGAAGTTTAAAATTCCAATAGTTACTTCAAAATAAATTGAGATAGCATATACAAAGTAATTAATAATCTGATATCTTCTTGTTTATTTGGTTGGTGTTTATTGTCGTTTCCCCTTTGGTATGATTTCAATAGAAGATTAATAAATGCTCAACATAATATTGAAAATCCCAGTTTACATGCCAGCTCCTCCAAGAAGCCTTCCTTGATCCCTCTTCTTCCCAGACAACAGTAACCACTCATTTGTCTGCAAACAATGTCTTTGAAAACTTCTGCAACCATCATCCCAGTCTGCATTACTATAGGTAGCAGAGAATGTTCCTCACTCCCTGACTGCATTACAGTGTCCTTCAGATAAAGGTCCACACCTTAATCTCCACATCATTGTTATCTCTCAGAATAAGTATTTGGCAGGTGCTTGTTGAGTCAAATTCAACTGAACAAACTCTCTTCATTACATCACGACTCTCTCCTCCAAGCCTGGCACCACCATTCTGTGGCCACGGTCCTGTTCCACTATTACATGGCTTTCATGCCTGCCTCTCCCACAACCCAGGACCCAACCTTTCTCTCGCTGACTTCCTGTGCCCCTCCCCAACAAGACCCTATTCAAATAGAACTCCACCAGCACTTTTCATGATTTGCAGGCCCTGATTGTAGCCATTTTACATTATTACTTCTTGCTTCACCTTCCTCTCTGAATTCAAACCCAACAATTCCTATCCCTCAACTCCTTGAAAGGCTGGTTCCAAACTTACATCCTTTAATCCTCCCTCAGTGCTTTGTTGATTTCCATATACTCAGGTTTCCCTGTGTGCATTCAGCCTTCTGATAGTGGCATATACAAATGTTCTCCTGCTGCTTCTTACCATTGATCCTTTTCACAGAAGCTATAAGGTCATTAAGAACCTGATAAGTAAGATATCTGGACTTCTGACCAAGATGGAGGTGTAGGTAGACACACTGTACCTCCTTGCACAACCAAAAGAAGGACAACAAATTTAAAAACAAAAAAACAACCAGAACTGACAGAAAATTGAACTGTATCAAAGTCTGACAACCAGGAGTTAAAGAAGAAGCATTCATCCAGACCAGTGGGAGAGGCAGAGATGCGCAGCTGGGTGGAAAGGACTCAAGGCAAGGCGGCAGCTGGCAGACCAGCAAGGTGGCAAATTGCAGGCTGGGTGGTCCCACATTCATGTGCAGATAAACTGGGGGAACAACTGGGAAGCAAGACAGACAAAGCAATCCAGGGTTCCGGTGTGGGGAAATAAAGCCTCAAAACCTCTGACTGAAAGCCTCAAAGCCTCTGGCTGAAAATACCTGAGGGGGTTGAGGAGGCAGGAAGAGAAACTCCCAGCCTCACAGGAGAGTTCATTGGAGAGATGCACAGGGCCCCAGAACACACACAAACCCACCCACCTGGGAATCAGTACCAGAAGGGCCCAATTTGATTGTGGGTAGTAAGGGAAGTGACTGAAAACTGGTATACAGCAGAGCAGGCAGCACTGTTCTCTCTTGGACCCCTCCCCCACATACAGCATCACAACACAGTGACATGGGTTGCCCCACCTTGGTGAACACCTAGGGCTCTGCCCCTTACTAGTAACAGGTGCACCAAAACAAAAAAAAATGGCCCAAATGAAAATACAGATCAAAACTCCAGAAAACATACAACTAAGTGATGAAGAGATAGCCAAACTTTCAGATACACAGTTCAAAACACTGGTAATCAGGATGCTCACAGAATTGGTTGAATATGGTCGCAAATTAGAGGGGAAAAAATGAAGTCTATGCTAAGTGAAATAAAGGAAAATGTACAAGGAAACAACAGTGATGGGAATGAAACTGGGACTCAAATCAACAGTTTGGACCAGAAGGAAGAAAGAAACATTCAACCAGAACAAAATGAAGAGACAAGAATTCAAAAAAAAAATGAGCCTGAGGAACCTCCATGATATCTTTAAATGTTCCAACATCCAAATCATATGGGTACCAGAAGAGAAGAGGAAGAGCAAGAAATTGAAAACTTATTTGAAAACAAAATGAAGGAGAACTTCCCTAATCTGGCAAAGGAAGTAGACTTCCAGGAAGTCCAGGAATCTCACAGAGTCACAAAGAAGTTGGACCCAAGGAAGCACACACCAAAGCACATCATCATTAAGTTACCCAAGATTAAAGATAAGGAGAGAATATTAAAAGCAGCAAAAGGAAAGGAGACAGTTACCTATATAGGTATGCCCATAAGACTGTCAGCTGATTTCTCAGAAGAAACTTTGCAGGCAAGAAGGGGCTAGAAAGAAATATTTGAAGTCATGAGAGGCAAGGACCTACATCCAAAATTATTCTATCCAGCAAACCTATCATTTAGAATGGAAGGACAGATAAAGTGCTTCCAAGATAAGGTCAAGTTAAAGGAGTTCATCATCATCAAGCCCTTATTATATGAAATGTTAAAGGGACTTATTCAGGAAAAAGAAGATAAAAAATATGAACAGTAAAATGACAACAAACTCAGTTATTAACAAACAAACCTAAAACAAAAACAAAACATGAATTAGGCAAACAACTAGAACAGGAAGAGAATCACGGAAATGGAGATCACATGGAGGGTTATCAGCAGGGGAGTGGGAGGGGGGAAAGGTACAGAGAATAAGTAGCATAGATGGTAGATAGAAAATAGACAGGAAGAGGTTAAGAATAGTATAGGGAATGTAGAAGCCAAAGAACTTATATGTATGATCCATGGACATGAACTAAAGGGGGGGAACGCAGGTGGGAGGGGGTGTGCAGGGTAGAAGGGAATAAAGGTGGGAAAATGGGACAACTGTAATAGCATAATCAATAAAATATATATTTTTAAAAAAAGAATCTGATAAGCAAATAACACATATGCATGACCCATGGACATGAATAATGATATGGGGATTGACTGTGGGAATGGGGAGCAGGCTGGGGGGAGGGGGGACAAAGGGGGAAATTGGGACAATTGTAATAGCATAAACAATAAAAAATGTTTAACTTTAAAACAATAAAAATAAAAAATAGAAGGCTGATGAGTCTCATTCCTTTGAGAACCTAGCACAAATGGACTTGCAGCCATCGTTGTTGGCTAATTTACCAGGAGACTTACTCAAGCAATTGGAGACTAATTTGAAATGAATATTTATTGACTTAATATTTACTGTCAAATACAACCTCTTATTGCATTTTGCCTACAAGCAACTTGCATTCTTGAGAAGAAAGGGTTCTAAGAACACCATTAAACAGATAGCAACAGTCTTAAGAGACAGAGCGTTGAACTGGGGGTCAGAAAACTTGACTTCTAGTCCTGGCACTGCTACTAATGCCACTTGTGATTTGGGGTAATTTTTGTACCATTGCTGTGCTCCAGTTTTCTCATTCTTAAAACATGGAGTGGCACAATACAATCTAATGTCTCCTTCAAGTCATAATGCTATGGTTTCATAACTAAATGCCTAGATGGATCAGCCAAGCCGAAAAGTAAATATTCCAGAGACTGAAAAGCACTAAGAAGGCAACTGGAGAAAAATATCATGGAGTTCTAGCACCACCTACTGATCACTGGATTCACCATGTCTTTAGATTCTAGAAAATG